CACGGCGGAGGGATAAGTGGCTACTTGTAAGTGTTTTGTGTGTAAAGCGATCGGTGGATCGTCCTCACTTTCACTGGCTCCCAGTTCTTTACAGGATAACCCCAGATTCCTCTGCCTGGTGCTCTGATCCCTTGTGTTCAGGGCACCGCCTCCTTTGCTGGCCTGTCTTCTACTACTTCCCTTAGGCTCACAACTGCCTTGCAGCCAGACTAACCCACATGACCACCCTGCCCTGTGCTGCTCTGTGCCTCTGTGCTTTATATGGTCTTCCATCTGCCTAAACTAGACCTCCTGGTTCACTCCTAAACACAGCCCAAGTAGTCATTATAAAAATTTAGAAAGGACAGATATTCAAAGAGGAAAAACAAACAAAAAAGTCATCTCTAATTCTGCCCATAAACCCCAAGATCCTTTGCTGACGTATTGTTGTCTGTACTTTCAGCCCTTTTTCTATTTATTTTGAGAAATGGTTGTTTTAGGATGAAACATTCCACCCAAGTCTTGAGCATTATCTCCCAATCTCACGTAACTTGTAAAGTTCTGTCAAGAGATTTTAACTCATGAATCTGGCTTCCCGTGGTCCACGTGACTAGTCAGCTTTTCTTATTTCTTTTCTCAGTGTGAGCCTTTACCCTCACACGCTTCCTGGGAAGGAATCAGGCTTTTCTTTCCCCTAGAATGGTAACCGTATTAGGACAATAGGCCCTGCCAATAATTAGGTAAGTTTTGGTTCCTCTGTGCCCTGCTCTCAGAGTCCCAGGAAGAGAGATCACCGCTGTCAGCTATAGAAACACACCCTAAAGGGCATAAAGGCCAGTAGAGGAGGATTTGTTGGGAGGCAGGAGGGGGATATATTTCCAGCTGTCACAAAGGAGTAGTCCCCGACTCTGACTTTAATGACTAGAAAATCTTCTAATACCAGAGGCTCTTGTCTGGATTTCAGGTCTGCGCTCCACCCCTCCCCCCACCACGCTACCTAGAGTTCATTAACAGTCTTCTTGAAACATTCTGTCCTGTCTCGGCTTGGGAACCAGTCCTGGACCTCACACTTGCCTCTCTGGGTACACATACCTATTTGGCTTGCTTGTAGACATTTTGTCAATCTCTTCCTAAACATTAACATTTACAGACGCAGTGGGTATGGTGGGGAGACTTGAAGGTGTGTGGAGGATTTAAGGAGCTGTGAAGATGTTCCCTTCCCTCCCCTTGCCTGGTGGACATCGTGCCGAGTGACCTATCGGAGGGGTCACTTTGACTCTGGGGTGTCCTGAGCGGTGTAAGCTCTGCCTCCCACTTCCGCGCCTGCAGGTGCAGGAGGGAGGGGGGATGCTTACAGGCAGATTTCAGACGATACCTCCGTGGTGATGGAGCCTGGTTCCTGGTCAGTGGTCCTCTTTTGCCCTTGGCAGTTTGATTTCTCTAGTTTCTGTGGCTCATTGAGGCTTATATTCCTGGCCTTCTGTCTTGTCCGTGGCTTCTTAGGGCTTCCTCCCATCCTGCTCAGGACAGAGTTTTATGGGCATTCTCTCTGCTGCTGCCTCTTTCTCCCTACCTCCCTCACCCACCTCCCTGTAGACCTGGAGTGGCTAGTCTTGACAAAATCAGTTACATATTGTCTTTAATCTGCTAAACACATTGTAACAACAAAAAGCTCCCATCTGTTAAAGTAAAGAAAAGCCCACCTTCTTCTAGTAGAGCGAGTAACCAAACAGGATTTGGGAGCTCTAGGGTCTTGTATTTGTACTGTCACCATCTATAAATTATTTTGGAACATCTTATCAAGTTTTTTTTTAATGCAAACTTAATTTTCATTTTGCTAATTTTTAGCACCATAAACTTGTCACTACACTATCTTACCTAAGAGGAACAAAGGGAGTTTAGAGTCAGAAGGCTGCTTCTGTCCTTGGAACCTCCAAGAATTACATGTCCCCACAAACTTTCCTCCATCCGTCTCCACCGTGCAGAGTGGGTATCCTAGGGGAGGATCAGTCTAGCTGCAGCCTGCCGTGAAGAAGACAAATCCGCCCTCACCCCCAGGACACTCCACTGTACCACCCCACGCTGGGGAGGGCAGACACTGGTGATCAGGGTTGATCGTGTGAGCTGACCGTCTGAGGCCACCCACGAAGAGCTCAGAATAATTTATAAGTCATTTATAGAAGCCAGATTCAGAATGGTATCCATTTCCCCGAAGCCAAGAGCACTGTTCGCTGTTATTTGGTCTGGAAGACCACCTCAGCTCCTCACCTGTGCTGTAGGGCTCCTTGCTGCCCCAGATGCCCATTAGGCACCATTAAACTCAACACATCTAAAACTGAACTGCAAACTTGTGTTTTGCTGGATTTTTCTTCTAGGACTTGACCTTTCTTTCCCTGTCTGCCGTCACCGTCCTCTCTCTCCTCTAACCTTTCCTAAATTGTAATCTTACTATGGTAGTTCCCCCTTATCTGAGATTTCAGTTTCCATGGTTTCAGTTACCCACAGTCAGCCGCAGTCTGAAAATATTAAATTGATAATTCCAGAAATAAACAATTCATAAATTTTGAATTGCACACCATTCTGAGTAGCATGAGGAAGTCTCGTGGCGGCCTGCCTCATCCCACGAGGGATGAGAACCATCTCTTCATCTGGCATATCCTGCCTGCTGGTCGCTGAGTAGCCGGCTCAGTTGTCAGATCGACTGTCAGTATCACAGTGCGTGTGTTCAAGTAACGCTTATTCTGCTTAGTCAGTGCAAGAGTAGTGATGCTGGCAACTCAGATGTACCAGAGAGAAGCCATGAAGTGTTTCCTTTAAGTCAAAAAATGAAACTTACCAACTTAAAAAGTAAAATTGTATGCTGAGGTTGCTAAGATCTACAGTAAGAATGAATCTTCTATCAGTGAAACTGTGAAGAAGAAAAAAGAAATCTGTGCTAGTTTTGCTGTCACGCACTTCAAACCACAAACGTTATGGCCACAATGTGTGACGGCACTTACGGCGGAAAAGGCATTAAATTTGTACCGTCAGATGTTTTGAGCGAGACACCACATTCATGTAACTTTTATTCAGTGTATTGTTATAATTGTTCTATTTTTTATTGTTGTTGTTGATCTCTGGCTATGCCTAATTTAAAAATTAACCTTTATCATAGGTCTACACGTATAGGAAAAAACCATAGTATACATAGGGTTTGGTAATGTCTGTGGTTTCAGGCATCCACTGGGGGTCTTGGAACATACCCCCATGGATAAGGGAGGACTCTGTAGTGGATTCCTGTTGCCTGGCTTCCTGACCACCAGTCCTGGGTCGTCCCTGCCCCTTATAGTTTGTCTCCTCTCGGTCTTCTGTGACTCTTTGAGGCTTAGATTCCTGTACTCACACCTTTTCTGTCGCTTCCTCCTGTTCCTGTTAGACAGTGTTTTGTTGGTGTTTTCCCACCTCTCTCCCCACCTCCCCCACTCTCCCTCCCCATCAACCCTGGAGTTGGTGGCTGCCCTTGACTAAATAGGTTAATCAGCCTGTGAAAATAGGACAGCAGAAAAGCCCACCTCCTGGTACAGCAGAGCAATGCATCACTGACACTTTACAGTTTGGTCTCTGCCTGTCTCTACAGCCTGTTTGTCCATGGTGCCCCCAGGTTTACATCCATATTCAGTCGCACTGAAATACGTATTTTCAAGTACCTTGTGTTGATTAATTCCCTTGGCCTGAAATAGATCATCTCCCCTTGAACACTGGGTGAACTTGCAGGCTTAGCTTTAACTTTGGTTTCTCCATGAAACCTCTCTTGATCTCCCAAGCAAGAGGTAATTATTCCTTTGACAACCATATTTCATAGTCACCTTGAGGTTCAATGATTATTTTCACTTTTTTTATGCGCAAGTCTTTATAGAGCAATTTAATTGTATCATATCTTAATGGAAGAGCATCTTAGAATGCACATGTCCTGACTCCAGTCTTGTGTATTGCCTCTCTCCATTCCACTGGGCATTACTTGGTTTTTCCTGTTTCCCTTTCACCAGGCATTACTTGATCTTGCCTAGCTTTCTAATTTTTGCCAATCCGATTGGTTTTAAAATGTAATTTCATTCCAGTGTGTGTGTTTGTGTGGATGGGAGGTTGTTAAGAAATAAAACAGAATATGGCAGATGTGATGAGTGCATTACACAAGAGAAAAAAAAAACAAAAGAGAGAAAGGAGGCATAAGGAGAGCCAGGGGTAGGGCTGGGGTTGGTCAGGTAGTACATATATTAACCAGGATTGAAATTTTGCCAGTCGGGTACAAGGAAGAGGGAAGACTCACAGTAAAAAATACAAGGGAAGTGATTTTAATGATGGACCAAGAGATCTAACCTGGATAAAACTGTGCACATTTTCATTTGTTTGTTGGCTATTTGAGCTTCCTCTTCTGTGAAATGCCTTCTTATTTTTTTGTTCTTGCCTAAATGTTTAAAGTTTTGTTTTAAACATTAAGCCTGTAATCTGTCTGGAATTAATTTTGTATATGATGTATGGTAGGAACCCAGTTTTCTTATTTTTCATTTGGATCACCAGTTATTGAGTAATCCATCCTTTCCAGCCGTTCCAGCCCTGTCATATGTTAAGTTTCCATACAAAAGTGGGTCTGTTTCTCGGCTATTCATTCTACTCCATTGGTCCACTTGTCTAATCATGTGCCTGTACCATACTGCCTTAATTACTGTAGCTTTTTAAAAATAACTTTCACTTTTTCTTCTTTGGGAGAAAGCATATTCTGTATGATGATAAAAGTGATCCAGTAGAACTGGGAAAGTCTTAGCTATTCTTGACTTTTCCATATAAAATTTAGAATGATCTTGTCAAGTTGTAACAAAGAACCTTGTGGATTTTTATTAGGAATTTTTTGAATCAGTATACTAAGATGGAGAGAACTGACAATATTACAATAATTCTTTCTGTCTCTAGTTCCCTATTCATGAACATGGTATATTTCTCCATTTATTCAGGTTTTTTATGTCTTTCAGTACAGTTCTATAATTTCTCCATAAATATCTTATGTGTCTGTGGTTAGATTTATTCTTAGATATCTTTACTTTGTGGCTAATTTTAAGCTATACTTCTGTTTGCTGGCATTTAGAAATGCAGTTGATTTTTATGTTAACTTTTATAACACCTTGCCAAACTTTCTAATTCTAATATTCTGTGTGTGGATTCTTTGGAGATTTCCATGTAGATAACCTCTGTAAATGATGAAAGATTTATTCCATTCCAATTTTATGTCTTTCATTTCTTTTTATTGCTTTATTGTGTGGTTCACAAATTCTAGTACAAATATTTAACAAGAAGCAGTGATAACCTTTTTCATATGATGAAGATAGTAAACTTTCATAGCTTTAAAGTTGTCTGCTTTCCTGTTTCTTAGTCTAATGATGTACATTTTAACCACTTAACCTATGAATGATTTTACTGTTAATTAGTCTCTGGGTTGTATTAGCTGTGCTATGAAAGGTTGCTTCATGATGCTAATCACTAGTGAGCATTAGGACTAGCAAAGATGTAAAAATAGCAGGTCCCTTCAAAAGAAGCCACATTGGCAGACGTAAAGCTACCAAAGCATCACCGAGAGAGTTTATTAGAACTGTAGATTCCTAGATGCTTCCCCAGCAAGTGCCTGCCCCTGGGGTTCTGTACCTGCCACTGTCTTTGTTGTTGTTGTTTTCTGTTTTAAAAATCCTGTTCTCTTAGGGATGTCTCGATTCTTGCTAGGATGTTAATGATAGTTGTTTTTGAAGGTTTTTTTCCCCTCACAATCTTTTTTTACTTCTTCTTTATCCTCACTGCTTTTCCTCTATTTGTTCTGTGTTGTTTTTTTCCTATTAGATGCTTGCTTCTGATTTCTGGTGATCCTCGCTGCTTACTGACTTATGAGTGGAGCCGTCAAAAAGCTGATGGGAGCTTTGTATACTTATTGAGGGCCTGTCAACAGGGGCTTCGATGTAGGGAAATATGGGTAAACCCTTCAGGACTGCCATTTATCCTTGTCGTTAGCTCTTTTCTCTTGGGCTGGCCAGCTTTCCCAGGGAGGACTCCTTCAGTCTCCTGCCCTGGAGAGTATAATGGGCCTGGTTGCCATTGTTCTCATGGCCGAATAGGGGGAGTGTGCAGGCTTCCACTTGATTCCCCCTGCTTCGGCGAGGTACCCCCTCCTCACACCCCCTGTCAGCGGGGGTCAGAGTGATGAATGCGCTGACAGACTTGAAGCCACTCTTCCTGTTTCTATACCCTCTTTCATCTCCACTTCCAGAAGTACCTAGTGCCAAAATTTTAGACTTTTGATGGGTTCTGCAGGGCACATCAGGTTGCTTCGTGGTTTCTTGTTACTGACCTGGAATCCAGCGTCCTTAGGACTGCGAGGTCACTTGCTGCGTGTTTACCTGCTTTCCAGCTCCCAAAGCTTTGTCGCTGTTTTCTCCTTCCCTGTTACTGTAGGCTGTGTTTTTGAAAAATCTCATTAATATTGTGTTAGCAGAGTTCAGGAGAGGTTGGAGCTGTGTACTTTTATTCAGTTTATCATCTTTAACTAGATATTACTCATGCTTTTTGTGAATAGATGGTTAGCACCCTGTCCTTTGTCAGATTTTCTAAGTCTAGTGCATAGATTCGATTTTCTAAAGCTGTGGTATAATCAGCTGGACAGCTTTCTCATTAATTTTCTCTCTGAATATTAAACAATTCATTTTGGCTTTCTTGCTTATTTTAGGCCTTGTTTCTAAGAAAATAAGAGCTTAATTACTGGGTTAGCAAAATTAAGTCTCTCGAGATGACAGTCAAGAGTCAGTAGGCAGCAAACCTGATTGCTCAGCAGGCCGGGAGGCGGGGTGCCCCCCAGGGCAGAAGAGAGGGGCAGGGTCAGTCGGTGCTTCCCTCCACTGAGAGCCAGAGCGAGTTGTTTCAAACGTGTTAAGGAGGAGCTGTCAGGTGTTGAGTAAATCGTTCTGGAGGCAGCACAGAAGGACCTTTCGTGGAGGTAGTTTCTCACCAGACACATTTTTCTCTTTCTGATTTAACCATGGTTTTCAGTGCTGTATTTCTACCCTCTCACCCCACCACCTTCGCCCAAGGCCCTGGGTCTCACCTGCACTATTATGATTACTTCCTCAGTGGTCTCCCTGTCTGACCATCTTACCATGTGGAAAAGGAGCTCACTCTTCTGCCCAGGAGAGACAGGGAAAAGTAGGAGTTGGCCAGGTGGGCGAGGGGCGGCAGGACAGTCCTGGAAGGCGCATCGTGTGGAAAACACAGGAGCATTAAGGAAATAGCAGGGAGACGGGTGTGTGGCCTCGGGTGCCTTTGGGCTGCCGCGGGAGAGGGGCCTGCAGACGGCTGGGTGACAGGCGTTGTGGATCTAGCCTGACAGTTCATTGTAGGCGAGAGCCTTCCCCCCCAAGTGATGTGTCAGCTCAGGTGTTAGGGGTTTTCATGACAGTATCAGTACTTTATTGAGGACACACTCTCACACTTTAATGAAGGATTTTTAAAAATGCTGGCGAATGAGTCCCTATGATTTTAAGGGCAGTCTGCCCTCTAGTCATAAGGCGGGCCTGTCTTACACGATAGGATCTACTGAGTGATCATATGTACCCCTATTTGAAGTGAAATTTGTACAAGTTGTTTACTGCTTGAATTTCCAAAGAACAGTATTATAGACCCTTCTTTTTTACTTTAACCTGATAAAATGCAGTGATTGAGCCACAAAATATATGGCTCAAGGCTCAGGAAATGTCAGTGATTTTGTGAGGAGTAAACCCGAGTGGGCAGCACCGAGAGGGCTTTTCTCTTTTTTCATCTGAGTCAGTGTCCTTTAACATGTTTAAATCTAGGGCCCCTCGGAGAGTCTGAAGAAAGCTGTGGTCCCTCTCCTCATAAGAATTCCAGTACGCATGGCTCCTAATTTTGCACAGAAGTTTAGAGAATTCACAGCCATGGGCCCTGGAAGCTCTGCCTTGGCCCCAGTAATGAACTCCTGCTCTCAGTTAAGGCTGCAAATCCAGCCACAGCCATCTGGTCTGTCACCCTCAACCAGGTGATGAGTCCGGCCGCAGGAGCACCTCTTTTGCCGAGTAGGCACATAGTGAGCTCCAACTCTTCTGATGTCACGCCTGCCCAGATGTGACACCTAAGAAACCTGACAGTGCGTGTGCATGATAAAAAAATAAGCAATAGCACCCACCTAGAGGTTTGTGTACCTTCTTTCTCCTAATGTGTCTGGACAGTTTTTTTCATTGATGATAGAGACCTGCTACTGGAGTCCTTCAGATATTGAGGGAGCACCCTCTCTAGAAGCCTCTTGGAGCCAAATAATGAATTTCCACCTACCCTGCTCCATGATTAGCTGTTACATATTTCGTGAGTATGAAAAGAAACAACCTTGTTAGAGACCCTTTTTAAATTGGCCTTAACACATACACATAAAAGAAACCCCAGGTTTGGGGAGTATGAGAGAGAAAGAAACGTTTGGAGGACCTTCTTATCCACAAGGAGTGGTGATGAATGGAGTCAAAAAAAGAACTTAGAGTATCCGTGTTGGAAGACTAAAAATGGAAATCCAATTTCCTCTCAGAAATGGGCCTTGCATTGTGTCACTGGGGACAATGGAAATAGACGCCAGAAGTCATCGTTTATTTTGAGAATGTTGTAAAACATTTGCGCCCCATTGGATGATTGTGTTATGCAGCACCGGGGACGTCCTGGCACTGCACTTGTGCTCGGACCTCTCCCTGTACCGACGTATACCACCAGCCCTCAGGGAACACAGTCCTTCCTGGCTGTTGCCATATATATATGTTCTTATTCCAATCTGATCCTCTCTCATCCCCAAAATAATCAGCATGAACAGAATGAAGCAGATGGCACAAGCCTTCTTTGGCATACTGGCAGATCTGTATCACTCACTCAGTATTTTTAGAACCAAGGGGATTGAAAATTATGTCCTGAGATGTTTTGGGGGAAGACTTACTATCTTTCCAGGGTGACAGGTGTTGAAATATTACCGTATTTAAGACTCGAATGCAATCTGTATGTCAGGTCACAGAACAGACTGACCATCATCAGGGCCATCCCTTTGTCAGGGCTCGGTTAGGATTGTTGGCAGTTTGCCAAATAATAGAAAGTTAATCACAAGTCTGTTTTAAGGATGTGGCCAGAAAGCTCATCAGGTTTCAACCAAAGATTGGAATCAGCAGCAGCCAACCAGTACTGGTCAAGCACACGGTGATGGGAGATGTATCATCCACACGGTTTATTTTTTAAAAATAGCTGGGCTTTGATCCTCAGCCACAATGAATTTATAATCTGTTGGGAAAGACCATGTTTATAGAAGTTTGTGATTATATCATGAAAACAGTACAAATATTTATGTTTGAAGATCTACATTAATGAAATACACCGTTATGGTGAATGAAATGTAACTGTTTGTGAATTTGAACATCATTTTTAAAAAGCCTTCCTGAAGAAATTAAGGAATGTTTACTATCATAAGTTAATTCAGTTCAACATTTGAGGATCAGCTTTGCACTTAGTGTTAGACTAAGTATATTTAACACAGAGACCTAAAACTCAAAAAGATAAAAGTCTTGGGCAGAGACATTCATGCAGTAAGTTAAATAAGTGTAAAAATGTTCAAGTGACTTAATGTTTTGTTGTTGATGTTGTTTGGAAGTTTAATGGGGAAAGAGGTGGAGGAATTGTCTCACACGTAAATACAACATAACCATGTCTAAAACTCCCTGATTATACACCCACCATCTTTGAAGGCCCAGGGGAAATGTAGATGATGATGAAACATGACTGTTGGACTCCTAGATCTAGAAAAGTGGCTGGGATCTGGGAAAAGTCTATTCAGTGCTAAAGGGCAGGTACTCTTTTCTTTCACTGAACAAATCTTGTTTTCCCTTTGTATTCTTGGTGTGTTGGTAATCAATCAAAGTTGATAGCTGTTGGGAAACAAAGAACGCGGGCTAATTTTTACTTACAGCCTCACGGGTCCTTTCTGTGTGTGTGAACATGTGTATGCTCCAGACTTCTGGCTCCTCCCACTATGAGTGATGGATGATGAATTATACATAGGAGAGAACCTCTGTCTTTTTTCCATCATCTCCACTGCTGAGTGGTTAGAACCACATGCCAGTTTGCAGCTGATGGTTTCTACTTTTCATCTCAATGTTTATAGACGTTACCATGTATTCATGTGATGTGTTTTTAGATAACAGGGTGCCTTCTGCTCCGTCTTGTTTCAGTAGGTTGTCCCCGTCAGCCCATTGACACGCATCAGGTAGATACCGCAAATGAGGAAACTGAACCTCAGGACATAGCTAACCAGTGGGTAAGCTGGAATTTGAACTAGGGAACCTTAGCACTGTATTCATGAAACCAGTGACTGGACCTACGTGAATACCTCCTGTGCTTCAGGGAAACACCTGAGGCCACTCGGCAGCATAGCTGTGTCTGAAGAAAAGCAGAGCTTGCCTCCCTCTCTTGACATGAAGCTAAGATGCCGCTCGTACCTTCCTGTGTGGCAGCCACTAGCCTCATGTGGCTCTTTAAGGTTAAATAACGTAAAAATGTCCGTTTCTCAGTGTCGCGTTTTGAGTGTTCAGCAGCCACCCATTTCCATCACAGAGAGTCCCGCTGGGCATGCTGGTCATCTCTCCTAAAGCAAGAGCTGGGGAGAATGAATTTAAAGGGTCTATGCAGGGGATTGGTGTCGGTGAGAAAAACACAAAGTCCTCACCAGCAGGCCAGCTCCTCCCTCCTCCTGAGTGACTAGTGCTGTTTTGAGTTCAGCTCTAAAGAGAACAAGGAAAAGATGAATTTCAAACTTCATACCGTGTGCACATTTTAATCTTTTTAAATAGACCTGGAAAAAACACAGCAACTTCAAGTGAATGAGTACATTTAACGATGATGATAAATTCTCTGCCTTTCATAGCTGGGCCGGTATTACGGCCAGACTTAGGCTGGATGAGAAGTAGGACACATCATGAGACCTGGCAGCAAAAACTCGGCCACACGGGATAGAATTCCTGGAAGGAATTATTTCGTTTGTGGCCAGGGTGGTTGGGATGCCTCAAACGAGGCCGAGCCTCGGGAGTGAACTGGCACAGGGCGAGGGAACGAGGAGCTGGGGGAGAGGGGTTTGGACAGAGCCAGGACGAGGGTTCAGTTCAAGTCATACTTGGTCACAGAGGAATAAGGTCTGTGCATGCTGCCATCAGAAAGGAGGTTTGGTGCCAAGATGTTGGCTGAGAACACCCGTGTCCCCGGCTTTGGATCAGTGCTTGAAGCTTCAGGTCAAAGTGCGCACGTCAGCTCTGAAGGTTCCAAGCAGGTGGGGCAGGACAGTGAGGGGTATCTGCCTGGTGCCGGCTCCGTGTGAACTCTGACCAGACACTAAAAACATCTGAGCTAATTGAAGAGGAACATAAGAAGTTTCCTGCAATCTTTGCCCCTTAAAAAAGGAATGTGTGCTTGTCTATGTGCATGTGCTGTGTCCTGATATATTTAAAGGTGCCTGAACTATTATTATAATAAAATTTCATCTAGCTAGACTCCAACTTTCTGATCTGAAAGTAACTGAAAAGGTAAGTAAAAATTAACTTTTAACAATAAAGAGCAGCTCTGAGCGACTTGGCAATAAATGAATGGCTGCAGGGAACCGACGCTTTGAAGACCTGCTCTGATTGGTCAGGTTACCATGAGTGCCCTGCTCACTTGACAAAGTTCACAGAGGCGGCCTGTGTACAAAAGCTACTCCAGTGTGTTTAATGTAAGCATAGAGTACGCTAATTTTTTTTAAGTATTGGCACTTGAAAGGTTAACGTCCACTGTCTGAAAATTACTCTCTCTAGAAGAGCACAGGACTCTAGACAGCCAGCCTTTTCTCTGTTGTCCATGATGCTGCCTCAGACTCTTAAGGCTTCCAAACAAACAGTGGTCTGTTAGTAGAAAAAGAGCCTGGACTTGGGTGACTTTGCCTGGGTTGGAGGGCAGTTAAGAACTGGGGTTTGAGTCAGGTTGAGGTTGAGGCAGTAAGCCCGTGTCCTAGAAGTGGCCGTCCTGCAGGTCGCTGGCCCCCCAGGGTGGGGCTGGAGAATGAGGAAATGTTCCCATAAACAAAAGGGGGAAAGATGAGCAGAACAATTTACTCGAGGGTGGTGCCTGCACATTTAAATGCAGCCTGAGCTTTGTCTGAGCCGTCACTTCTGTCTCCCTCCATGGGAATCTCTTGTGTCCCCTCCAAAGGCACCACATCAGTGAATTAAACCAGTTTTATTCCCACTCTGTTTACACCATAGACTTGAGTCCTTCTGCACGGTGACCTTACAAACAAATTAACTTAGATGTATACAAATTATTTCGTCTCATCCCCTGGAAGTTTAAACAGGTGTGATAAACAACTTATGTTCTGCCCTCAATGAGTGAAGAGGAGTGGTTTGAATAAGCAGGGATGGTTTTTGTTTCTGTACCAGTAGAGCATTCAAACACACTGGGGAGTTTTTCTTTTTTCTTTTTCTTTGAATTGGCAGATTGAACCTCACACAGACCTGAAGTCATGGTTTGGAGTAGATAATACTGAGTCCATGAAAACAGGTGTCTCTGTCGTAAGGGAAAGTGTGCTTTGTCCTCCATCAAAACACTGTGCACCTGACTCCTGCCACTCAGGAGAAGCACAGACAGGTGGATCCGAGTGCAGAAGGACCTCTTACAGCACACCGGGAGGATGGGGAGTCGTGTTGCATTAGAGCCATGTGAAGGAGCGCGTTGATGCTGAACTGGTTGGGGTAGGGGGGGAGGAAAAGCGCTGTTTTCAAGCGGCTAAAGCAAGAAACTGTTCCTCTTCTCTCCGCAGATAGCCCAGGGATCCAGGACATGCCCCAGCGCTAGTGATGCGGTTTGCCTTTCTGCTCCTGGAACCTCATCTGTGCCTCAGACTTTCCCCTCTCAGCCCGAGACTGCATGGAAGTTGGGATGTGGGAAGCAGCAAGCAGAGCTAGTGGTAACTGAGAGGCCCATGTCTGGGTAGAACCAGGTCCAGGACCACAACGCTGCCTCCTCTCTGGCCTGGAGTTCAGCTGCTGTGGCTTTGCCGATGTGCTCAGCACCATCCTTCTATTTGTACTTAAATGGCACAGTATTTGGTCAGCGCATCTGAAAAGGAAGGTGTGAGAGACAAAGCCCATGGCCACGTACCCCTGCCAATTATGTGGCAAGACGTTCCTCACCCTGGAGAAGTTCACTATCCACAATTATTCCCACTCCAGGGAGCGACCCTACAAGTGCTTGCAGCCAGACTGTGGCAAAGCCTTCATTTCCAGATATAAATTAATGAGGTGAGAGGCTTTAGAAAAGGTATGTCCTTTAACACATACCTTTAAAAAGGCTTTGCTAGCCCTCAGAGCAAACACTGCCTGGGGAAAGGGATGCAGAGTGTGGAGGCATTTCTGCCTTTAAGGCTGTATCCCCAGTGATTACTCTAGTTCTTTCTGTATGACAGTTGTGCTCTGCAGTGTCCAGTTCACTTTTTCAAGAAGTATTTCTTGTGTTCCTACACTAAGCCAGGCCTAAGGACAGAAAGATGAGAAGACACATGGCTGGGGAGATAGTCATGCAAACACAATTAGGATGCAATCTGACAGAGCTAGGCAGGCGGAGGAAGTTGTTCTCCACGGCCTGATATCTGGGGAGGCAGCTCAGAAAGGTGCCATCTTCAGCTGTGACATAAACAATGAACGGGAGGCGGACAGGGAGGAGGTTCTGGGAAAGCCCTCAGCTTTGGCCTTAAAGCACATGTGGACAGAGGGTGGTGTTGGAAGAGGAACGGGGTGAGGCTCAAAATGTAAGCAAGACGGAAGTGGCTCAAGACAGGCCTTGTCTACTGCCCTAAAGGGTTTGTTTTCTTCTCATAAGTCTAAGAACTGAAAAACCTGATTTGAGTAGGATGTTAGAAAGATGGCTCTGGTAGTAATTTGGAGAAGAGAGAAGAGGCAAGTGGGCTGAAGTGCCGTCTGCTGTAATTGGCCAGGGATTGTATATCGGGGGCTTATCCAGGTCCTGAGAGTCAGGGTGGAGGAAGAATCACCTCTGAGTGCCAGTTTCCCAAGTTTTTCAACTTGGGTCTAAAAGCCACCCTAACAGGTGGAATTCTGTTGGGTATACAGATGTTGAGTATGAGCATTGAATCAGATTTTCAAAGGTGTCCATGATACGACAAAGGATAAAAACTACTCTTTTAGGAGATAGGTCCATTTAGTCTGAGTTACTTTTTGAGTGCCTATGAGGTACTCACTTCCATGAGGGAAATAAATATTACATGTAGCTTCTGCCTGTAAAGGATTTTTATATCATAGAAAAGACGACGTATACTCAAAATCAGTAAGTTGCACAACACTCCGACAGTGAAGGCCGTGTGCTGTGTACATGGTACCCTTAGAGCTGTACGCACAGAACTCCCAATCATACATGCTTCTTTTGAGACTTGACATCTGAAAATACATCTCTTGCCTCTAGTCTTCATGAAATAAACTTTAACTTTTAAACTACATATAAATGCATAGGTGAGAGTCAGAATTTAGCAAGAATTTCCATTTGAGTGGTATGAGCACAAACCACATTATTATTAGATCCTGGACTGCCCCTTCAGGAAAGCACTTGAGCGAGAGAGAGAGATAAATTATGTTCCTGGCCCTTAAGAGTAGCATTGTTATAGATAATGTAATATAATAAGGTGATTTTTTAAAATAAGCCTATAAATGTTTAAAATCAAATGTGTCCTGTACACCAGCCAATCTTTAGTTGCCATAAACGTAAGTATTGAGTGCCTACTGTGTGCACCAATTTTGTTGCAAAGGCTTCCTGTTTTGCAGCAAGGTTCTTATGTGTACACAGTAATTATCCTTGCTTGAACACCAAAAGCAGCGTTAGCTGCAGTTAAGCCACAACGAGGATATTATAACTGTAGGTAAAGACTGAAACACATATAGGAGATGAATACTTGGAAGAGACGGTGGAGCTAACAGATTATTGGAATGGCAGGAATTAGGTGGGATTACTGTGGTAAACCACACTGAAGATGGTATCTTAAGCAATATTTAGGAGGTGGTGGTTCTGAGCAAGGGAAGCAGCTTGTTCAGCTAAGGGTGTGAAGTGAGGTAAAAAAGGGAAGCAGTGTACTTTGTGCAAGAACCGCCTTCCCTGCCTCAGCCGCCATTTCTTGCCTCTCTGGCCTGGAGCAGTGATCTGATAAAGAATAGAAGAGTGAGGCGGCAGGATGCTTTAGGGTCTTTTTGGTTGTTTTTTTTTAAAGGGTAGCATCCATCCATTTCCCTCAGTTGCAACTTAAGCTCCATTTTATAAGCAGAGATTGAAGAAGAAAATAACCAACTTGCTTAACTAGGAAAGAGAACATGGGACCTAATGCAGCAAATGGTGAAAGCAGTCAGATGGAGACGGCAAAGGGCAGGAATAGATGACTTGGCAAGGCAGACAGAGTCCCTGGTTGGGAGTCTTCCTGTCAGCAGTTACCCCAGAGAAATTCTCAGATAATTGACATGGTCCAGGTGACACCCAAAGGTGGTGTTATTTGGTGCTGACCATAGGCCAGACAAACTGGTGGCTTCTTGGGTCGTGAGGTAAGAAGAGAAGCTGAGGGAGGGAAACAAGATGAGGAAGTAATTTCAGCTATAAGATGACCACATGCTGGATTGGGACTGCTGCCTGAGCAAGTGAGGGATAAATTAAAAGGAGAAGACTTGGATGCCAGGCAAAGGAAAGAGTCAGAATACTCAGAGGGATGGGAACTGGTGAAATGTGAAGAGCAGTGTTACAACTGCTCAGGTGCGAGCGGTGTCGGCCTCTGCCCATCTCACGGACGTACAGGATCAGGGCAGGATGGCGTGGGTGGGAAAGGCCAGGTCCAGAGCTGTAAACTTGGCATTGATCTACACTTGTGTGATAAATGCAATCTAATCAGATAAAAACCTGCTGCAAAGAAATAGGAGAGAGGCAAGAATAGAAGATCCAGAACAGAGCTTTGGGGTCCTAGTCACGCAAGTGCTGGACCAAATAGAAAGAAAACTGTCTAAATGCCAAATTTATAAACCAGTCCCTTCTCGCATCTATTCCAGATGCTGTATCTGTGAATATCTCGTCAGAGAACATGGTTATTTGCCCTCTAGCAGGCTGTAGGAACCCTTTCTATAACCTGACTGCATTTAAATACATCCAGAACTCAGAGAGACCAGCACCACTTCAGATCCCCCAGATACTCACTGCATTGGCCTCTATTTCTCAGTGTTGTTTGTACCTGTCTTAGCTGTTGCCTTACAAACAGGTAAGACAGGTACAAAGCACGTGGTGTCCTGGAGGAGCAGCTTAGTCCTTTTAGAAAAAGCCCTTTTGCCAGTGAAGTTACCAATGACCTTTAGGAAGCGAGTTGAAAGTGTCTAAGATGGATTTGAAGAACTGGAGACACATCTGAAATGATAGCCAATAGGAGAGTATTAACTGGAAGAATCCAAAACTTAAGCGTAATCTCACGGGAGGCACGAGGCGAAGGCTCAGAACAGGTAGTGAGATTGGCCTTCTGGGTCCAATTAGACACTTTCTCTGAGGTTAAGGATAGACTTTTTAGCGTTATATCTATGGCCTGAACTTCTTGTCCCAGTCAGGACCAAGCAGGAATTGTGTTAGGAGCAAGAACAGTAACAATGGTGGGGGTGGTGATGGGGGTGTGGGATTCTGTATAGAAGGCAAATTGGATCACTTTTGGAAATTCAGAAATTTTCAGAGTATAGAACGGTCATTTATACACCTCCCTGAAAAGTATTTTTTATGATCTTACATTTAAAAATATTTGTATACTTGTATTTGTTTAGAAATCTGTATATACAAGGAAATTATGTTCTCAAAGTACATTCCTTATAGGTGTGAAAGTTGCATCATGTAGGCCTTTTTTATTACAAAGGTTATGTGTAAAATCTGGAAAATACAGAAAAGTATTTTTTAAAACTAAAATACACATACCACCACCTAGAGAGAACTACTGTTAACATTTTACTGTTGTCGCTGCACCTTTCTTCGGCTCTTACAAAGCTGGGTCTGTTGTGGCATGTTTCCCTCTGCTCCTAGGCACATGGCTACCCACTCACCCCAGAAGTCCCACCAGTGCGCTCACTGCGAGAAGACCTTCAACCGGAAAGACCACCTGAAAAACCACCTCCAAACACACGACCCCAACAAAATGGCCTTTGGGTGTGAGGAGTGTGGGAAGAAGTACAACACCATGCTGGGCTACAAGAGGCACCTGGCCCTCCACGCGGCCAGCAGCGGCGACCTCACCTGCGGCGTCTGTGCCCTGGAGCTGGGGAGCACAGAGGTGCTGCTGGACCACCTCAAAGCCCACGCCGAGGAGAAGCCCCCTAGTGGAACCAAGGAAAAGAAGCACCAGTGCGACCACTGTGAAAGATGCTTCTACACCCGGAAAGACGTGCGGCGCCACCTGGTGGTCCACACAGGCTGCAAGGACTTCCTGTGTCAGTTCTGCGCCCAGAGATTTGGGCGCAAAGACCACCTCACACGACATACCAAGAAGACACACTCACAGGAGCTGATGAAGGAGAGCCTGCAGTCTGGAGACCTTCTGAGCACCTTCCACTCCATCTCTCCCCAGTTTCAACTGAAGGCTGCCCCGCTGTCTCCTTTCCCTTTAGGAGCTCCTGCACAGAACGGGCTTGCAAGTAGCTTGCCAGCTGAGGTACACAGCCACACCCACAATCCCCCGGAGCCAACCTCCCAGCCTGTACCGGCGCTGCCAGAGCTCCTGGCCCCCCTGCCCCCCGTGGCCTCTCCCAGCTCTCCCCCCCCACCCCTCCAGAATCACAAGTACAACACCAGTTCTACCTCGTACTCCCCACTTGCAAGCCTGCCCCTCAAAGCAGATACTAAAGGATTCTGCAATACCAATTTGCTTGAGGACTTGCCTCTGCAAGAGCCTCAGTCACCTCACAAGCTCAGCCCAGGTTTTGATCTGGCCAAGGGAGGTGCTGGTAAAGTCAGCCTGCCCAAGGAGCTGCCTGCAGACGCTGTGAACCTAACAATACCTGCCTCTTTGGACCTTTCCCCCCTGTTGGGCTTCTGGCAGCTGCCCCCTCCTGCTACCCAAAATGCCTTTGGGAATAGCACTCTCACCCTGGGGCCTGGGGAGTCCCTGCCCCACAGGCTAAGCTGTCTGGGGCAGCAGCAACAAGATCCCTCACTAGCCATGAGCACTATGAGCCTGGGCCAGCTCCCCCTCCCCCCCATCCCCCATGTGTTCCCGGCTGGCACTGGCTCAGCCATCCTGCCTCATTTCCACCATGCATTCAGATGACTGGTTTTGAAAGCCTACCTTTCTCATTCTGGAAGATGTTTTAAGAAGCATTTTAAATATCAGTTATGATACAAGGAAAGATTTGGAAAACAGGACTGGACTATGGCTTATTCAGTGATAACTGGCTTGAGCGAAGAGAGTTCTCGAACTGCATGTATTGTGCCAATCTGTCCTGAGTGTTCATGCTTTGTACCAAATTTAATAAGCAAGTATTCTTTAATGGAACTGCAATTGTCATAACCGACATCCATACGAGGGCTGCTATATATAGGTGTTTGTCAAATTGAATTTAATCGTAAGCCATGATCATAATAATGTTAACTAAATAAGTTTATGTGGCACTGCCTAGTAAGGGAACTATGGAAAGGTTCGGATTTCTCCAAAATGGGAGAATTTTTAAAATAAGAAAATAACCTTTATATTGCATATTATAACTAGGCTGTGTATTTCTTTTCAGGGATTTTTCTACCTTCAGGGTTGGATGTAGTTTAGTTACTATTGCCATAGCCAACCTATAGTTTTACAGAAACAATTTCTTGTGGAATAATAGACGTCTCCATTTTAAAAAAGCATTTTAAATGTAGTTTGAATATTTTCCACAGGATGCTACAATGTGAGTTATCATTTACTTCATTTATCTTAAAGACTAAACTGATTGTCAGTTACGTCTGACAGAAAAAAAAAATCACTGTGTAACCAGGTTAAGTGGTAAAATAATCCAGGCGTCAGTCAAAACAAGCATTTTACTGACTTTAATATTGATTATATTTTTAACAGGAATTTAAGAATATTACTGGAATTAAAAATATATATATATATTAAACAAGAATTTCCTTTGCTCTCTCTGGCTTAAAATACTACTCTGCTTAAGTATTTTTAATCACCAATAAGTAACTGCATTTTAAAATTCATCATTTAAGTCAATATTAGTTTTATTCAAAAAAGATAACATTTTACAATGTAACTATTATCTCTCTCTTGAATTTGGTATCTAATGAGTTTTTAAAATATAAAACCTAACCTTTTTTTAAAGCTCCTTTGTCTTTTGTGTTTAGAGGCTTTCTATATGAAGATATATCTTACATATAATAAACTCTACAAATTCTGCATATGGCTTGACTGGTTTTTATGTACAGCCACGCCGTGGAACTGTCCACACTGAGATGTAAAACATTTCCACCTCCTTGGCTGGCGTCCTCCTGCCCCCTCCTGGTCATTACATCCCCTACAGAAACTGCTATTCTGACCTTTATTCAGTATCTCTTAGAAACTTACCTTTTTTCTGAGTAAAATCATAATGATTTAAGGTAGACGCTTACATGCTTCCATTAAATTCATGGTGCTAAGAACTTACTTCTAAATTATGAATCTTTCCAGAGTGACACACCATTTATTTTGGATGTACAGGTCAGAATACTAGCTACTGGAGTCTAGTCTACATAGGCTACCATGATTCAGTTTCACAGTGGTGTTTACCATTAATTTCTAGTTCAAATAGAAATTAGTATTGGGATTTCTTCAGAAAATATGCCCCATAATACTGTTTGTTTTTGCTTTTTTTTTTAACCTCTAGAGTGGCTAGAGAAAGAGAAGCCTTGAGTTTGTTTGCCCATTAAAGCAGCATGTTAGCCAAATACAAGAAACTGTGGTTGAAAGCCCTTAACAGAGATGCTGATGACCATAAAGGGTGGAGGGCACTGCAGACAAGCCACCCGGGGCGGGGCTGGGTTGTCGCAGGTATGGAACTGACATGGTGGATCCTTAAACTAACAGTTCCACTTGAGGGGGCGTGGAGAAATGAGACAGAGGGACATAAGTTGCCTTGTCAGCAGGAATCCACTGTGCTGGGATGTCTGAGACAGTCCCCATATCCGCTCTTACCTCTCCAAGGGAAGGCAACCTCCCAGGGCATGAGGAGAGCGGCAGAGCAGTGGCCCACCTCAGCTAAAGCCTCCCAAATTCCATTTATAGAAATACTTCCACAAATACTCTTACATGGCTTAGGAGTCTTCAGTCAGTTCCAGAGCACATACCTGATTTATCTGAGCATAAAACATAGCATTTGGTCCCCCAAACACAGATCATAAGACTTTCAGATACCATGTTTGCTGTACTTCACGTAGTAGGTACTTAAATTTAAACAGGAAAAAAGAAAAAAAAAGACTTACTCCTAAATAAAATTCCTTGAGTTTAATACAAAAAAAAGAAATTATTAGATTAAAAAGCTGTCTTAATGACTCTACAAAAAGAGTTTATAAGATAACCAATAGAAAAAAAATGGTTGAGACACCACATCCCAACAGAGGTACATAAACCAGTGGTGAAATGAACCATTAGTGGACTGCTGATTTAGCCATGATAAATAAATGGCCTGAGGCCTCTAAAAGCATCCTTTCCACAGGGTGGGAAGGTTACGATAACCTGTTCCCTCTCCACTGCAATGTCTCCCCCAAAGCCAACTCTGCACTGGTGTATGTGAGACAATTCTCCACGGTACACAGATGGCCATTTAAAATAGGAGGAGTTACCAACTACAGTCTAATGTTTATTAGAAGCAAATATCAAAGCTGAGATTTCACAGCTCTTATGTAGAATAAAGCTAAGTAAAAAATGATTTTCCTAGTAAGTAAGAATTCTAGTATTCCAAAGACTGTTTCACTAATGGTTCTAATATCACAAGAACGTTTTCTTAAAAAGCCCATTAAATGTCCACTTTTTAGAAAGCTTCAAATGAATCTTTAAATCAAGCACTATTGTTACAGTTTGATGTGTTGCTCAAGGATTTTTTTTGAATTCTGAATACAGTAGATAAGAAAACTTGAAGCCAGTTTTTACTTGTTCTACATGATGTCTCTAGAAGAATCATGGGCATGTAAACAGACACCTCCCGTTTCTTGCCCTTAAGTGGCATTCCTGGGTACACAGCCATCCAGCCTGGTGACTTTCAGGGAGCTGGCCTGAAAGCAGAAAGAAAAGCCATTTACTTTAGAACTTCATCGTTTCCACATTGAGAACATTAAATAGTATAGGTCTCTTTAAATTTTTAATTGTTTTAACAAATAATTCACAGTATCAGATAAGTCTCCAGTTTCATAGCAATCCTGTTCAATGTCAATCTCAGGGAACTGTCCTTGTTTGGGAAAAGGGACAGAGCAGTAGCCTTCTAGGTCAAAATGAAGAATCATTTCTCTTCCCTGTTAAATCCAAGAGACAAAAACTGAACATCATTTCAAACCATACGTTTAACAAAAGGTTAAGTTTCAAGAGCGTGCATTTTATTAGCCCAAATCAGGGTTTGCCCCGATTCTTCTTCGACTGGCCTGCTATGGATTCATTCTCTTACATGCTCATTAGATGATCAGCAACACCTGGATTAGAGGTTTATTTCTTTTTCCTTACCTGGACTCTAGGAGTTAATCTTTTTTAGAAGATTTAGTAAATCCTTGTCTGAGTTTTGCTCCAGAAGCAGGGTCCACTGCTAATCCTTTGCAGACATAAACAGATTTGTTATTATGTAAAAGCAAACATGAGCAACAGAAAAAAGGAATGATTATGAAATCCTCACACCGAATTCAAAAGTCTCGATTCTTCCGTTTTGTTTTGTTTTGTTTTGTTTTGTAGCTACAGACAAGTTCTCAGTCCCTATCCTGGGCCAAATAATAAGGAAAACAGAGTCTGTCTCAGGAGGCTTCTCTCCTCCACCCCTTGGCCTTCACTTACCCATGGATGGGCCCCTCGGACCCCTGCCTAGGGAGCCCGCCATCTGTATAGGCTGACTCTCAACATGTCTCCCCACTAGTGCCCTGGCCTTCAAAGTGCACCCCGAGTATTTAATGCTCTCACAATCCTGCTAAGAAGGGTTTGTTAAGCCGCCTTACAGAAGCATGAGATGCCTTCCCTCCCAGGGGTTATTTACACAGTGATGGCCTCCTTCCCTAAACAGGACACTTCTCCTTTGTGTCCAGCAGCCCTGTTGGGTGTGGATGTGTAGGAGTTTATGGATACAGACGTACCATACCAGAGTCTGTTTTGGACTACATGGCAGGGAAGAGGATTCTCAGAGAACCCATTTTTTGTTTAAAAAAGAAAAAGGAGAAAGAGTAAGTCCCTTCTGTCCTCGAGGCCTCCTTTCTAATCAGTGTTTTTACAAAGGGGGAGTAGCCAAACAATCCAAGGAAACCGTGAATCAACCACTAAAGGACATGAGAATGTAGAGAACTTTCAGTGTTCCTATTACCCAGAGATCTACAAGTTTTATTTCTTCCAAAGAATCAGCAACTGACCCTTTAATACTCAATACATTTGCTACACAGTTAAGTTAGGTAAGGAGGGCATGCTAGGGCAGGGTAGGTGCTTACCCTGGTCGAATCCACTGGCTCCAGAAAGAAAAGCAGAACCCACACCAACAAAGCTGTGAAACGTAATTCACTAAATACAGGAAGCAACACAGCCCTAGAGTCCAGAACTCCATTTCACAGTGATCTTAGTCTCTGTCTAAAGGTACCTTCCCTGTAAGTCAGTCACTCTGATACCAAAAACCCTTGAGAAAATAGCCAGGTAGATGTTTGATGACTAGACTCCAAACTCATTTCCCATCTGAACAACAGACTCTCTGTGAGAACGAAGGAAGAGCCATGCCTTTTTCTAAAACTATTAATATATATGTGTGTGTGTATGTTTACTAAATAACATCTCATATATATTTAATAATACATAATATAGGTTAAATAACATATAATATAAAAGTCTCCTTAATGTTTATATTTTTCGACCCAGTTTTCCCAAAATAGATAAACTCTTTGGCATAAGGAAATATTTAAAATTTGTTAGTGAAAAAAACAGGATGTGCACAAGGACTATGATCCTAACTTTGATAAAAGGAAAGCAAAACAGAAGAGTACAAAGAGGAAAAGATAGGAAAAGTTATCAGTTAACAGGAGACATGTCAGGGTGTGGAATTATGGGTGATTTTTATCTTCTTTATACTTTTTCTCCATTTTCCAGTATCTTCTACAATAAGCATTAATTTCTTACATGGCTTTTTTTTTTTAAACGCTCTTTCTCAAGAGACATTTTGCAGGACAACTTAACATGTCTAGAAACAAAAATTTCCTAGGCCATCGTAATAGCCTAACTTGCACAGACAGGCATGCCTGGAGCCGTGACACCAGTGTCAGCATTCATCACACATGGCCTGGGCTTCTTACCAAGCATGTACAGCCCTCCGTGCTCTGGTGCCAGCCTTCCAGTCTAACTTTAACTTCTGTTCACACCCCAACTCTTCTCTACGCTCTGGCCAAATGGGCCATTTGCTTCCAGAGTATGTCCTCTGCATTCTCGTTTTCATATCTTTGTTCATTCCTTCTGCAGCTTTTCTCCACTGGTCCAAATCTGGCTCATCCTGAAAGCTCTTCCCAAATGCTCCCACCTCTGTGAAGCTTCCTCTCTCAGACCGTCAACTCGTCCATAAAGCCCCCTGGGCAAAGTTGGTCTCTTTCTTGTATTCTCTTAGGACGTTTACATCCCACCGTTAAATGTTATATATAATGATTGACCGCTTCTCCCCCTTGACGGTGAAGAATCCACAGGCATAAGAAACAAGCATGCATAGTAACTGTGAGCTGAATGAATGAATCCTCTTGAACACCCATGGCAGTTGTGTGTCAACTTCATGCAACATCACATGCTCTCTAAGAGCAGAGGCTTGCCTGAACAAGCATAGCTTCTTAGAAGGCTCTGGGATGGAGAAGGATTGTGCCTCACACTCACTTCCCCTGATTGTGAATTTAGAACCAAGTGTTATAAATGGGAGACACTAAATGCCTATTTTACTCAAGAGAGTTGAAGAATGAAAGCCAGGGGCTGACCACCAGCTAGATGAAAAACAGTGATAGGATTTATGTGGAAGGCAAGTGACACCAAATGGCCTAAAGTACTGACTGTCAATCTAGAAACAGCAACGTTTCAACAACAATACAACTTTTAAAAGACCCTCCTATTAACAAATAGATTAATGGCCAGTAGATACAAATATGATTCACACATGGGCCTGTTTACGTTAGTGAAATGTACCCAGTGCTTTTCCCCCAAGCCTTAAAGAGTTGTGAGAATTCACCTCCCGCAATACGCTCCTGCTTCCTCCCCAGAATGGCTCCGAGTGAAATGTGACTAATTGAAAAGCACACTAACGCTGGTGACTTTATTTTTAAATATGAACAGGTGAGGCCACAGGAAAGAACAAGAAATTAAACTGCAACAGCATCTTAAGCCTGAAATAAGACCAAAAGCTATCCCTTAAAGCTAATTAGTATGACCACTCGACTCATAAGCCGATAAGTTGAGAAATTATAGAATCAAGATACCTACTTTCTCTCATATATTTCATTCAGAATGTATTTACTGAGCACCTCATATGTGCCATGAACAAGTGTAACAGGTAGGGATATGGTTGTATAAGAAAAATAGACAAAGCAGACAGATCCCTGCCTTCTGGAAACTTACATTTCCCTTTTTTGGGGGTGGGACAGGAAGGAGATAAACAAATACGTATTGAATATTAGATGATGATAAACGCTATGTTTTTAAAAAAAACTACAAAGAGAATTGTGGAGGGCTTGATTACTTTTAAACACAGGGGCCTCACTGTGAAGACAACACTCAGCAGAGTACTGGAGGGAGAGACGGAAACAGCAGTGCAGATTAGAGAGGGAGCGTTTTGGTTTTCCGTGGCGGGAGCAGCCAGTGCAAAGGCCCTGAGGCAGGAGTGTGTAGGAGCAACAGAGGCCGCTGGAGCTGGAGTGAGAGGGAGCAGGGGAAGGTGAGGCCAGTGGTGGTACAGGACCTAGTGTGGGCCATATTAGAACTCTGCCTTTTACTTAGCAACACCACAGTGGTTATAAACCACCATTAACTAGTCAAAAGCAAATACCATCTTGCTCAGCTCTCCTGTCCTACTAATCTATTTCCCAATGGTGTCTTTACAATACCCCATTTAATGTCACATACTGGGACACAGGACTGCCGAGTCCTAATTCAGGACCCCTCCACTTATGCCTTGCTGCTGCTTTAAAGAAATTATTATTAGTTCAAGGAGGGAAACTTCCCTTATTTTCAACAGTACGCCTGTCTTCCCCTGCTCCCAGTCTCCTTCCAAGTTGACCAGACCAGGAACGAAGTCCCGGGGCTGCGGCTACACCAGGACCTGACTTTGCACCCCGTCAGAGTCGTCTAAGCCTGAATGAATGAAGAAATATTCCCTCTTGGCGAATAAGCTTTAACCTCAAAATCAAAGGAATGCTTTTCACTGGCAGGGAAGCATTGTAATATATTTTTTGAAAAAAATAAGAAAAGAAACCATAATATAAAGAAACCGTCTTTTCTGAAGGGCATTATTTGTTATATTTTAGAAAAAAGTTTGTTAGGAGAAGTTCTACCAAACGAATACATACATAATCTGAAATACTTTTCTTCTAAGTGAAAACTAGAACCTACCTCATTGTTAAGTTTTTACAGATCAGGAAAAAAGTGATGACTTGGGTTTACAAGGCTGTGGGGAAGATTTTAAGGTACTAATTCAACGTTCAGTCCATGAAAAGCAACTCACGAGGAATTTAAAAACTAATGATAAAGATTTCTAATGCTGTTACTTAATGGACTGTGAGCCTGGCACTTCTTACTCCGGTTCTGATAGTACCTTCAGAATAAGACTCCTGATTAGAGGTGCCAAGGTGGTCATGAGTGACCTCAGGTGGCCTTCATAATGCATGCTGCTCATAGAGAAGAAGGCCACATTGTCATTAATGCAGCTTCATGAAGAGGGAAAGGCAAGTAGAAACCCAATCCAGCTCTGCTGTTTACCAGCTGTGTGCCCTAAACAAATAACTTACCCTCTCTGGGCCTTGGTTTCCCTTCCCATACACTCTGGAGGATTATTGTGAAGATTCAGTGAAAACGAGTCTAGCATATAGTAAGTACTATAATGACAGTTTCCCTTTCTGCTACTTTGAAGAAATTATTTAGTTCTAGGAAGAAAATTCTTCCCTTTTTCCTTTCTTCCCAGCCTTACTGAGATATAATTGGGTAAAACATATAAGTGTAAGGTGTATAATGTGATGATTTGATATACGTGTATATTGCAAAATGATTAGCACAATAAGGTTAGTTAACACATCCATCATCTCCCATAGTTACTATGTGTGTGTGTGTGTGTGTATGTGTGTGTGTGGTGCGAACACTTAAGATTTACTTTCTTGACAACGTTCAAGTATATAACACAGTATTTTTAACTACAGTCACCATGCTATATGTACGTTAGGTCCCCAGAACTAATTATTCATCTTATACCTGCAAGTATGCACCCTCTGACAAACATCTCCCCATTTCCCCTATCTCTGCCTCTGGCAACCACTATTTACACTCTGTTTTCATGAGTTTAACTTTTTTAGGTTCCACATATAAGTGAGATATACAGCATCTGTCTTTCTGTTTGACTTATCTCACTTAGCACAATGCCTTTTGTGTCCATCCAGGTTTCACAGATGGTAGGATTTCCCTCTTTTTTATTGCTGAATAACAGTCCACTGTGTATATATACCACATCTTTATCTATTCATCTATCAATGGACACATAGGCTGTTTCTATAGCTTGGCTAGTTGAAAAACGCTGTAATGAACATGGGAGGACAGATATCTCTCTGAAATAGTGATTTCATTTTCTTCCCTTATTTTCAACACAACACCTGACACACTGCCATCTCCCGTTCCTAATCTCTTTTTAATTTTACCAGACCAGAGAACAATGATTCTGGACCCTGCCGCTGCAAACAGATTTGACTTTGTATATTGTCAGAGTTGTCTAATCCTGGTAAATTAGGAAATATCCTTTCTTGGCACATAAGCTTTAACCTCAAACAAACCCACATATCTTTATATCCCAAAGCAACTTTGGATGTCATAGCTTTTGCTGACCGCCAGCAAAACCCACAGCCAACAGTGGTCCCCTCTGACCCCGTCATTCGATAGTCAGGACGCTCACTCCAGCTCACCTGGCCTGCTTGGGACCACACTGGCCTCCAGGGCCCTGTTCTGGAGCAGCGCTCCCACGGCACTGGTTACTGTCGGTTCTTTTTTGGGACTCATCTGAGCCCTACCCTAGAGAGAGAGAGACAGGAGAGGAAACAGTCCTGTACCCTCAGGTAGCACACAGGAGGCAGGGCTGTTTCCTGTTAACTAGCAGCAGGTTGCAGTCTTCACTGGGACCTGCTACACCCAGGGGAAGGGGACACCCTGCATCTTAGTCACCCGGTTCCTGTCCTCCCTGCTGGGGCTCAAAATCATGTCTGGGTCTTGGAGCTTTCATTCCATAATCAAGCTCTCAGTGGAGTGGTGATATGTTAATCCTGTAAAATTAGTTGTATGGAGACATAAGAAATCACTTACTGTCAATAAGGACAGTTATGGAACATTTTAGTTTTTCATTACACTTGAAGATGATTTTGTTTTTAAATACATGAACAGAGAAGAAAAACAGACATTGGCAGGCAGTGAATGTTTTAAACATGGGATTCCAACATCCCCACGCCACCCCCTCCCTGCCGAGCAGCAGTAGCAGAACAGTTATATTAATACAGAGTAAGGACCAAAAGGTTCCTTGGGAGCTCCTTTTTACCTCGCTTCAGATCCCTCCATGTTTCCGTGGAAACCACAGTATGATGATAACCTGTTACTCGGAGTGAGATGGGCGCTTGGGTGAGGGTAACTACCAGACGGCAGCAGGCAGCTCATCCCCAGCCAAACAAAGAAAGCTATTTTCAGAGGCCCACATTGGTCTCCGTTGGTTAAGGGTATAACATTTTTAAAGCTGATTATGTTTAAAATAGAAACACATTTCAGCTGTGCTGTTAACAGCCCTTCAAAACTGAAACAACACCTCCCTTTTTGTTCTACTTCTGAATCAGCTCCACTACTAGGCAGGGTCCCAGAGTGGTGAGGCTGGCATCGGGAAACAGCACAGCCGTTCAGATATGCTCTACAGTGAGTTTACTCAGAAAGCAAGCAATTTTTCTTCTGTGTTCCCAATCACCACTTAGCTCTGGAAAACAAGGAGAGGAACAGGGCCAAGTCACTGGTTACACTCAGGACGGCCAGCTGGCCTTCTTCAGGAATAAAAAGCACTTCCGTCCGCTGCTTCCCTCTGCTCCCCCTTGGCCCCACTAATACTGACTAACTTCGCCGACTGGCTAGAACAGGCCTTCGAAGAAATGTAATGCACCCTTCGCTGCTTTAGAAAGCATAGGTAGGGTTATACTCGACAGCTTTTCTGAAACTAACTTGAAGTCAAGCCCAAAGTAGTCATATTCCCCCTAAACGGTGGCCCCATCCCCCCCAGGAAAGGACCATCATCAGCTGGGGGAGGAGGGAGGGCCCGTGTGGAAAGAGGAAAGGCGGAGGGACCCACGTGCGAGGCACTGCACTGGTGTTGTCTGTAATCCTCCCAACAACTCAGCAAGACATAGATTAAAGTGAGTCTCAAAGAATGTCAGTAACTTGTCCAAATTCACCTACAGATAATACAGTGTAAAGCTGAAGTCAAACCCTGACTGCCACTTGGAGAACCTGGGCTCTTTCTACACTGCCCTGCTTCCCATGCTATTCCAGGTGTAAAGACTGAATCTCCAGAACTATATTTATCATAGCCGCCCTGCCTGCCCCACTGACACACCTATCCCTGCCTCCTGTGTTCCTCTGCCTAGATGTGTAGTGTTATCATCTGCCAGGCTCTGGAGCTAGAATCCTTCTTGTCAACCCTGATCCTCTTTTACCCTGTATCCAATCAGCTTCTCAGTTCCAACAATTATTTCTTAAATGCTCCCACTCACATGCACCCCATTAGTCCTCTCTTTCTGTGCCCTCATTTTCTTTTCCCCTTATTGTGATTTCTAACTGGTCTCTGGCCAATCCATCTTGCACATTCATGGCAAGGATTATCTTTCTTAAAAAAACCCAATTCCATGTCACCCCAGCCTGCACTATCCAACCAGTCTAAACTGCTTACAGAATGACACCCAAGGCCAATGATGGACAACTGGCCAGAGAAGTTGAGAAAGTCAGTCTGCAGAGAAAAGAGAAAGCAGAAGCATAGTAGAAAGAAGAGATAAGGTGCAAAGCCGGGAAGGGGGGTTCCTGGGGAATTCCCAGTTCCTGCTTCTGGGCTTGGCATCCGATCCTGGAGCATCTATTCACTTAATCCCTCTTTTCCTTCTCTCTGAGCGAGCCTGAGGTAAAGCCCTTCTAGCTCTGATGCTCACCTTGCCTGTCCCATCGGTCACTCTCCCACAGGCACTCCATGCGTTAGTTCCACATAGTCGGCGCCTCAGGTGACAGGCTGGACATCTTGTGCATAATGTCCTCCCCAACGTCAACTCTAGACTGGTAAACCCATTTGGTATTTCATAATGACATTGTTCCCAAGGCCTCCTCCTCTGAATTACACATCCTTGATCAACCAGCACCTGGCACGGTGTCTGGTACAGAGTAGAGTTTCAGTAACTGTCTCATGTAGTCCATGGGGTACGCTGCTGTCAGAGGGTCCTATCCCCACTACATACTGGATTTCATGCATATCTTTCTAAACATGCTTCATACTGTTAAGGAGCCAGACCAACTTAATCTTTTCTTGGTATCTGAACCCTGTTTATGAAATCGACAGTTTTCATGGTATACTGTAAGTGATGTCCCCGTCACCTTTGATATGCACAAACTGTTTGCTGCTCCAGTTCTGTTCTAAATCTAGTGACTTCCTGGTAAGGTTGTTATTTTACTTATTTGTACCTATTGATAAGAGCTGTTTTATTCATTTACTTTACATTGCTGACGCTGTGGCTTTAAACAGACTAAAGACCCAGCTCTACAGAGCAAAACACACGGCCTGTAGAGCAGACGCTCCTGTGACAGCCTCCCTGCCCCACGCCAGTTTCCCTCCAGGCTCAGAGTTCTTTTGGGATGGTTAAGGCTGAGAACCACTGTTAGAGAGAGAGAGTTTTACCATAATAATATACAAACACTGCTTATATATCCAAGTCTTCATCCCAAGAAGCTTTTAACTGTAGAAAATTTTTTCTACAACACCCAAAGGGGGCGCTAGCTGGCAAACATCCCTCAAAGAAGCCAGCTCCCAGGAGGACGAGTCACAGTAACTGGCTGTCTTGATCCTTACACTTCTCAGGATGGGTCATTTTGATTCCCTGGCAAATTCTCTGTGCTTGCCCAAGAGCTAGCACGTGGGGAGAGAGTCTTACCTGTGCTCTGGATGCCAATTTGGCTGCGGTCTGGGCTGGATTGAAGACTCGGCGAGAAGTCTGATCCTTGCAGAAATTAATATGTCGATTGGCTGCGGTTTCATTAAACCTCCTCATACAGTACGGACATTGAATATAATCTGAAAGTAAAGATAAGAACAAAAAGACAAAAAACATTTCAAAAACAACTCTGGAAGGGGACTACATGAAATGAAATGAATAGGATATGAACTCTGCTCCAACATGAAAGAACAAGGTCCCGAACTCTGGTGTGAGACAGCCTATTCTACGGGAGGAGGCAGGTAGAAGCTCAAGTAAAGGACATGGCAGGGGGAGAAGTTCCCTACCCAGGTACTTACTTCAATTAAGAGTATTCCCTTGCATGGGGAAGTATATTCAATATCTTGTAGTAACCTATCATGAAAAATATATTTATATGTGTGTATATAACTGAATTACCATGCTGTACACCAGAGACTGACACAATATTGTAAATCGACTATGTCAATAAAAAAAAATACATCTAGGTAACTGTGATGACCTACACACAGTTCATCATTACTTAAAGACTAAAAGCTCACTACATTAAAAAAAAAGTATTTCCTTAAAATGTTTACATGATACTTTTTTTTTTAGAAAACAGAGTAATTGTATATACTTAGGAACTTTCCAATTAAATAAATTATTTCGTGAAAGCTTATGTAAAGAAAGTAGTCCTGGAATCACAGGCTGTGGGTGTTGAGGACTGAAGGGCACAGAAGGTGACCAAGCCCAGGCTGTGGTGCCGAGGGGGACAGAAGGTCGCACACAAGTTGTGTAGCCACACAGCACGCAGCAGGACCTAAGCAGACATGCACAAGGGCTAGCTCGGTGGTAGAGTGCCTGCCTAGCCTGCACAAGGTCCTGGGTTCAATCCTCCACTTAAAAAATAAGTCAGTAAACAAACTTAATTACCTCCTCTCCTAAGAAAAAAAGAAAGAAAAAAGACGGACCTAACTGGACATGACCCAACGCGCATTGTAATATAACTAGCACTGCGGTTTGGGCCCCTCCTTGGGTTTTCCTGTGTGCGCTGCGGGCAAAGGCACGCGCAAAGTGCGCAAATACCACTACGCGTTCCCAGGGCAAGAGCCGCCAGTCAGTCAGAACGCCACCTCTAGGCGAGGGTGTAAGAGAAGGGGCAAAGGCCGCTGCTTCTGCCTCCCTTCAGTCAGCCTGTTCTGGGAGGTGTACTTTCCCTTTGCTAAATAAATCCTTTAAAATCTTTCACCACATGCACACACACAAACACGCACACGTTATGCAGCTACAGAGGGAGCGCGGTGTTTCAGAATGTGGGGTTTTGGGGGGATGGGATTTGAAGCCAATGTCACACTCCTTCTGCAATGGCTAGATCCACTGAATTCCTAAGTGAGGAGGCAAATAATACTTTCAGAAAAGGGATCAGGAAAAGGGAACAGCAAGGGTTCAAAAAGAGAAAAGGGCAATGAGGGACAAGAGGGCTCCACCTTCCAGAGTAAGAACCTCTCCAGCGGCCCTGGGGGCACGGGGCCTCTGAGGTTGTGCGGAGCACCCATTTGTCTCATTTGCAGTTACTAGACAGTGAGAGAAATGAGAGGTGAGAAAGATCCACACTCTTAGAACGTAATGATGCTCACGGCAAAGCCAGGCTGGAGCCTACTCGTCCAAAGCAGAGAGGAGTGTCGGGGGCACACTGTTCTGTCTTGCTTTAGGCACCTTGACGGGATGACAAAGTGGATGTGAGAGTTAGAAGACAGTATCTCCCGCTCCCCTGGCAGGCTCTGCACAAACCATCAACTCTGTGTGAAAGTCTGGCTTAGGATACAGTGCCTACATATGTGACTGGATATTTAAGGCAGTCATGCCTTCAAAGTTAAGTTTTTTGAAGGCATCTTTTTAAGCTGTTTGGGGAGTCTTCTATTTGAACAAATCACTTCCTAAAATGAATACTCATAAAATTAGAATGTATAATTCTGGAGTGTAATAAAAGATTAGCACTTAACCTAATCACTGATTCCATACTTACTGAACACTTATTATGCTCCAGAGGGATATGATGTCTCTGCAATCAAGGACTAAGCTTTCTAATATAAAGACAACTTTCTCCCACGGTGACAAATTCCTTGAACAAAATAAAATAGGACAGCATTGGGAGATGGCAAAGGCTCTGCAGCCTGTCTGACTGGTTCTCAGTCCCAGCTCCTCACCTGCTGCGTGTGTGAACTTAACCTGCTTAAGCTTCAATTTCCCCACACCTACGTATCACCCACTTCATCTGCTTGTTGTGAAAGTTAACTACAATAATCCACAGTAGGGCTTGGCACAGTGGGCGGGTGAAATACGCTGTTACTCCAAGGAAACAGGCTCAGCCAGGTTGCGTTTCCAACTACCAAAAGGAGAGAAACTGCTTACAAAAATAAAATAGCGCCATTACCATGCAGAACTCATTTACGATGGAGTAGAAAACCATCTAGGACTGGGTTTGCAGTTTCGTGGTTATTTCTTCAGTTTTGCCAACCGAAAAGTCAAGGCTCACATCAGAAGTGCTGCTACCAGAAACCCTACTTAGTTCAGGCAAAGACAACGGTTATGGCAGTGACTGCGTTGCTTCCTTAATTGCACCTGTTCATTCATTCATTCATTCATCATACCTTCTGTGTGGCGCTACACATCACCGTGGAGACAAGCACGTTGATGTGTTATCTCCCTGCTGACAAAAACCTCAGGGACAACGAGAGGACTAGGCAAAGCAGCAGACGTTACCACTCCATGGAATAAGCCCACAGGAGGGACATGAAGCCCAGACTTAAGGGAGGAAGGGAATGTCAGATATTCTGAGTATGGAAAGTCTTCTTCTGCAACAATAATCTGAACACACCATGACTTAGCTACAGGTTCTACCCTCATCTCAAACTGAGTCACCTCTTCCTCTATCAATAAAGATGTTATAAAAATCACTATGTGCTATTCATTTCAATAGACGATTTTTAAAGTCTTGCTCCAGATCATATAAAAAATTAAAATAGAAAAACAAGCATCATTTTAAAATGCAAGCACTTCCCATACAACTCAACATTAAAAAAACAAACAACACAATTAAAAAATGGGCAGAAGAACTGAATAGACATCTTTCCAAAGAGAAAGTGCAGATGGCCAACAGGCATGTGAAAAGATGCTCAGTGTCACTAATCATCAGGGAAATGCAAATCAAAACCACAATGAGATGTCACTTCACACCTGTCAGAATGGCTAGAATCAAAAAGAATACAACTAACAAATGCTGGCAAGGATGTGGAGAAAAGGGAACCTTCCTACACTACTGGTGGGAACACAAATTGGTGCAGCCACTGTGGAAAACAGTTTGGAAGTTTGTCAAAATACTGAAAAGAGAACTACCATATGACCCAGCAATTCCACCCCTGAGTATATCCAAAAAACACAAAAACACTAATTCAAAAAGATACATGCACCCCAATGTTCATAGCAGCATTATTTACAACTGCCAAGATATGGAAGCAACTTAGATTTCCATCAACAGATGAATGGATAAAGAAGATGTGGCAGGCATATATATATATATATATATACACACACACACACACACACATACACACACACACACACACACACATATATATATGAGATAGAATACTACTCAGCCATTAAAAAGAATTTTTTTTTTCCATTTGCAGCAACATGGATGGAGTACATTATGCTAAGTGAAATAAGTCAGACAGGAAAAGACAAATACTGTGTGATATCACTTACGTGTGGAATCTAAAAAAATACAACACTAGTGAATATAAAAATGAAGAAGGACAGATATAGAGAACAAACTAGTGGTTACCAGTGGGGAGAAGGCAGGGGGAGGGGCACCCTAGGGATGGGGAGTGGAAGGTACAAACTATTGGGTGTAAGATAGAATACAAGGATGTACTGTACAACATGGGGAATATAGCCAGTATTTTATAATAATTGTAGCCAGTAATTTATAATAAATGGAGTGTAACCTTTAAAAATTATATTAAAATAAAAAATAATTTTTTTAAAAAGGAAGAGAAGAGGAGGAAAGGAATAAAATATATTCCTGAGAAGCAGTAAACTGACATTAGCCCCTACACAGGATTACAGCCCAAATTCGCATTGCCAAAGTAGTCTAAATTTCTCCTTCTCTGTGGTCCTCTCTCTCATATTGAGTGGCTGAAGCTGATAAAGTATCTGTGTGCCCAAGAAGAAGATAGATGTAGGGACAAAAGTGAAATGATCAGTGGAAGAAATACACAGCATCTTTAGAACAAAAAAATTTTGAATCAAAACCATGAAATGTTGATACAAGCACACACGGACTTTTTTTTTTTTTTTTAAAGCAGAGAATGAAAAACTCCTTAGGTTTTCTGGCTTGACACTTTTAAAATTGATATTCTAACAATATATCATTTCTGTTATTGAAACCATATATGATGAAAATTCTTCAGTACTCTGACATCTGATTAAATTTCTTCACTTTCAAAAAATTAAAATAAAAATGCAAACATGTTGCTGAGTACCATGTCTATGTAGCCCTGTGAAGTGGTGACCAAATGTCCCAGGCCTCACTGAAAATCCCAGTGGTAAATATTCTGTATCACTGTCCCCATAAACTGTCACATCATCCTGGAAAGTTGAATGACTGGTAAACTTACTTAAGTCAGTAAGAATTAGAATAAATACATGCATGTCACAGAAATTGAACCATGAAAGAGGAAATCATGCTGAAAAAAATGGGAATTACTTGCAAACTCATGCAAACCAAGCCATATGATTAATATCCCTAGTTACGTCTGTATAAATTTTCTGGTATTTAAGCTGGAGAATATATGGGCTAATATAAAATCCCTCCACAATCTAAATAATTGAATAGTAATGAAAATGTGCTATTGTAGGTAATCATTTTGCTTGGTGCATAAAATTATAATAAGGGCACAGGGAAGAATTTAATTATAAAACTATATTTTAGTATAAAAATATAAAGGGCAGAAAAATAATCTGCACACTTGATGAGGCTTTATAAAGGGAATTATTTACTTTAAAGGAAAAATAATCCCCACATTTTAAATTCAACGTGGAAATTAGAGAAAGT